CTGTCCTTGAGAAGCTGGGAGTGTTTCCGCCACTTCATATATATTTCAGAGAGCTGTCTATCTGTGATGGATCTGAAAACCAAATCACAGAGTTCATGTAAACAAGAGAAATGAAAAAAAAAATACGTGGGTTCTGAAACTTAAGATATAATACAAAAAAACATTTATAGTAACAGGACTAGAACTTGTAAATGGTCCTAAATATGAATTAAAGTTTAGAAAACTACCAAATGCTATGTGGTCAGACCTCTAAGACATCAGCAGATAGAACACAGATGATGAACATTTTTAAAATTTTTCTTAAAAATACTCTTTGACATAACAAAAAGCAGCCCTTCTAAACAAATAATCTTCTGAAATGAGAACATATTCATCAGACCTATCATAAAGAACTAAAGGACACCTCTAGTCCTGCTTCAGCGCTCCTTGTGGTAAATGAGGACATATTAGCAAGGAAATGAAGTAAACTCATTAATTACCTACTGAGGATGACACTCTATGCATAATTGCAGCTGTCAAAGAAATCACAGTTTAGTAAAGGAAAAGCTGGCATCTGGCAAAGGTTTCATTTACCAACATTGTTTATTAAAGGAACAGAAAATGCATGTTGTACAATTAGTTTATGTGAATAGTATGTTTTCCAAATAATTAAACTACGCAATGCTGTCCAATCTTTCAGAACTACTGTGTTAAGAGAAATAAAAAAGATGATGCTGGGAGACTAAGATGACAAGGTGATGACTAAGAAAAGAAAGCTTTTTTAGTTGCCTGACACAGAAGTAAACAGTAACACAAATTCATAGGAACCAAAACTTTAATTCTTCCCTAAATAACCCTATGGAGCAGGTCTCAAATTTTTTAGTAACTCAAACTTTTGCAGTAATGCAATGTAGTGCTAAAGCAGAATGGAGTATAACATGTTATGGCGAAAACATGAGGAAACAATTCTATCTGGGTAGAACAGGGGAAAAGTTATAAAGAGGAAAGCACAAGTAAGCTGAATTTTTAAAATTTGAATTTTTACAATGAATATTTTTGAAAATGCTTATTTTAATAAAAGTGTAGTCCACTAGGGCTAATCAACTTACATCGTGATAAAAGGAAAGAAACATACCTACAGTCGGTGTCCATATAGTTTTTATTTTTTAAAGTCATTATTCGTAATGGAAAAGCTGCACTTTGGGATTACAAAGTCATATGCATCACATACCTTGAGAAAAGCTCCCCAATGTTTTCCAGCTCTCCAATAGCCTGCAGTCTGCTAAGCGTGGGGTAGAGTGAATACACAGACTCAAGGCTGCCCTTACACAACTCTTCTACTTCTTTTACTCTAGTAGCAAAAAATAAAAGATACTTTGAAAAGTTAAGAAAAGGTTTTCAGGCAGATAAACGTTCAAATTTACTGTTAAAGAGTTCTCATCATAGGCTTAGCTATTGGTCTAATAATATAATACTAATATTCACAAGCAACAGTGAATACAAAATAGCAGTGGAAACAAAATACAGTAGACCCTTGAACAACACAGGTTTGAACTACATGGTCCGCTTATACTCGGATTTTCTTGCACCTCTGCCACCCCTGCGACAGCAAGACAACCCCTCTTCTTCCTCCTCCTCTTCAGCCTATTCAACATGAAGCCAGTGAGTATGGGGACCTTTATAATGACCCATTTCCATTTAATGAATAGTAAGTATATTTTATCTTCCTTACAATTTTCTTAATAACATTTTCTTTTCTCTAGCTTACTTTACTGTAAGAATACAGAATTTCATACATATACAAAATATGTGTTAGTTAACTGTTTACATTATCAGTAAGGTTCTGGTCAACAGTAGGGTATCAGTAGTTTAGTTTTTGGGGAGTGAAAAGTTATACTCAGATTTTCGACTGTGTGGGGAGGAGGGAGTCAGCATTACTAAACTAGAGGTTCAAGGGTCAACTGTAAACCTTGGAATCTAGAGACCTAGATCCAAATTCCAGTTCTGCCACTATAGCTGTGTAACTTTGGACATATTACTGTATTTCTCCAAGCCTAAGTTTTTTCACATCCACAGTTATTCTGACAATTAGAGAATACATATGGAGAGAGCCTGCCAGTGGCTAGTATATAATTAAATGGTAGCAAATATTATTTCTGTGATAAATACAGGATTCATTACATCACTAACTACTGTTAAGCAAAAAACATGCTATACACTAGGGTTAAGTACTTATTCCATGTCTCATCTCATTTGTGCCTCAAAACAAACCTGTAAGTATTAACCATCTATTACAGTTTTAAAAATTGTAACACTAATGCTAAGAGAGGTAAATGCTATATAACTACTAAAGGAGACCAGATAAAATTCTCAGGATACTTGTACAGGAATTGAACAAAAGGGTGGGAATCACCAAAACTTTCTCAAAGGCTCAGAGTAAAAAACTGACCTGGGATCCCAAAGAGAAGTGTTTTGGAGGAGGGCAGAGAATAACAAGGAGACACCTGATTATAATCACCAAGTCTTTATCCCTTCATCAATGCAAATCCTTACACTGAAATTATTTCTCAAGTTTTGAGAAAAGAAGCCATGACATTAAATGGTAAAATACAGTAACTTTGTCTTTTTATAATACCTGGCATGTTTGAGACTTTCATAAAATGTGGAGAATTCTCTGTCTCTTAAGGACTGCAGAGCATTGTACAATGATTCGTGGTAATTGGTTCCTTCTATTTCTTTGCTATGAGATAATTTTAAAAATCAAAGAAAAATATATTTAAAAACAGAGAATCCTAAGATACACATGTATAAACAACTTCACCAAAGGGCATTTTAAAACTAAAATTAAGATTTATTTATTTTAAAAAAATACATTTCTAGAATTTTTAGTAAGAAATACAAAGAATTTATCACTTAAATTTTTCAAGCAGAAAAAAAGAAAAGTTCTCAGATATTCTGCCTGGTTCTAAATATGCTATACTTCCATTTATCTATTCAATGACCACCCATTACGTGCCAGGCACTAGGCACCAGGTTCTAAATCCAGAGATCCACTAGTGAACAAGTCAGATCAGCTCCCACTCTCATGGAGTTTATGTTCTGATTTGGAGAAGATGGACAAAAAGTAAGAAAAAATACCAGATAGTAACAAGGGACATACAGAGAATTAAAACAGGTAAAAAAAAAAAAAAAAAAAAAAAAAAAATACCAGATAGTAACAAGGGACATACAGAGAATTAAAACAGGTAAAAAAAAAAAAAAAAAAAAATAGAATGACTAGGTGGCTGCTTTAGAATGAGTCATCAAGAAGTTCTCTTTGAAGATATGACTCTATTAAACTAGAGTCTGAATAATAAGAAGCCATGCACAGGGTAACTGAAGAAAAAGGAGAAGATACATCTAAGCCCTTTATGTAGGAACCACTTGGCCTGATCAAAAAAACACACAGAGAAAGCCTGTGTGGCTGAAACACAGCAGACAAGGGGAAGAATATGTTGATTTACAGAGGCAAGCACTGGTCCCACTGCATATTCCTCCATGCTGCTTGGTAACGAAGTTCCTGTAGTTCAGCACACCATTCTTTATTTTCATAATCTAATCCTTTTAAATAGATGGAAAGAATATGGCAGAGTCCCAAATTCTGCAAGGCCTAAACAGGAATTATTAAAAAAAGAGAAGTAAGTAATCAAAGATATCAAAAGAAAAAAACAGAAAAAAAACCCAGCAAACATAAAAATTAACTTTAAAAAATTTTTAGTTCATAATCACTTAGAATCCAAAAATATTGTTTAGTATGTTTCCAAAAAAAACCCACAAAGATAGAGCTTAAAGGGCTCTAATATTTGAAGGAAGAATGGCTAAGGAGTAACCAGTAATAGAAATGATATTTTCTGGAACCAACTCTAATGTAAACTGTGAGAAATAATTTACATGAGATTTTCCACGTCCACGTGAATCACTAAGTACACTACCTGGCACATTGCATACATTCAAGAAATGTCTTCTATTGTTTACTAACAGAATTATGATCAACAAATTATCTTTTAGGTCAACTGTCTGACTTTGCAGTGTACCCCTGAATTTTTAGCTTAATGCCTGAAAAACAGATAACTTGCAGTCTTATCTCTAGAGTTTATCTGGCTGTGTAAATATTCCACTGACAAACTGAAATAATCTCAGCACTACGCTAGTGATGGCATTACCAAAGCAGGAAAACAATGTACCTGAATTATTCCTGCCTGGCGGGTTGATGAAGAGATTGCTGTCTCCAGGTCATATGTTACTAGGGCTTTCCCCCACATTGCTTCATGTTCATATGTTCGTAGTCTACAAGAAAAGATAAAAGTACCTTTGGGTTCTACATGCACATAACTTCTTTATAAACAGAATTACTATATGATTACCTAGAAAAATGCAATTTACCTGGTAAGGGGTTGTAACATTTTCCCCCCACCACAGCCATACAGGCTATCTGGCTCTCCTATACTTCTGTAGATTTCTAAGAGAAGATCCTGAAAATATGGAAACAACAAAAATTGGAGGGGGAAAAAAATCACTTTAGGAATTTAGCAAATTTTAAATTTTATCATTACCAACATGAAACTCCCAACTCTAAATGCTATAAAAGTAAAATATGGTGATATTGAAATAGCTGACCCTAAAGCAACACAAGTTTAAACTGTACAGGTCCACTTATGCATGCCTTTTTTTCAATAAATATATTGGAAAATTTTTTGGAGATTTGTGACAATTTGAAAAACTCACAGACGAACCATGTGGCTTAGAAATATTGACAAAATTAAGAAAAAGGTATCTCACAAATGCATAGAATATACGTAGATATTAGTCTATATTTTCATACCACAAAATATAAGCAAATCTATTATAAAAGTTAAAATCGATCAAAAGTTACACACACTTTATAGACCATACATGACACCATTTGCAGTTGAGAAAAACACAAACAAATGTAAAGATGCAGTATTAAATCATAACTTCATAAAATTAACAATAGTACATACTGTATTACTGTAATGATTTCATAGCCACCTTCCCTTGCTATTATGGTGAGTTCAAGTATCATGAGTATCCACTTAAAATGCTGTGTGATGTTAATCATCTCTGCGTGAGCAGTTCATCCCTCCAATAAATTGCATATTGTGGTAAAAAGTGATTTTTCATGCTTTTCACGTATTTTTCATCATGTTTACTGCCACACTGTAAGCCTTGATTAACACCAGGGTACCCATACAAAGTACTACCAGTAATGCTGAAAATGCTCCTAAGAAGCAGAGAAAAGTCATGATATTACAAGAAAAATGCCTGATATATACTGTAGATTGAGGTCTGCAGCTGCCACCATTTTAGATAGATGATTCGTTTTATAAATAGATTATGAAAACTCATAGTATCAATAAAGATGGTCCAGTACTATAAATATATTTTCTCTTATGATTTTCTTAATAACATTTTCTTTTCTCTGATTTACTTTATTATAAGAATACAGTATCTACTACATATATGTGTAGTATACACAAAATATGTGTTATTTGTCTGTTTATGTTATCAGTAAGGCTTCTGGTCAAGAGTAGGCTATTAGTAATTAAGTTCTGGGGGAGCAAAAAATTATATACTGATTTTCGACTGCACAGGGGGTTGGCACCATTAACCTCTGTGTTGTTCAAAGGTCAACTGTATATACCAAAGATTTGAATCAGGAAAACAGCAGACTAGTCCCAAACAACAAAACGATTGTAGTCTACCTGAGAAGAATTGCTCACTATTTCTTGAATTAAATAAGAAATAAATACCAATCAACTAGGCTTGTATTACATGCAAAAATAATCATAAAAACAAAAATAATCCTGTCAACAGCAAAAACTGTATAGTCGAAAATGAAGTTCTGCAAAGTCTGACTCTTGAAAACTGAACAATTTGGTAAAAATAAAGGTCATGAGTTTTTCCTGGAAAGAAAACTCAAAACTGTATTAGAATTGGTAAAATTTCATATGAATAAAGAAGTAGCTTGATTACTCAGATCTCTGCTGTAAAATTTACACAGGAAAGATGAATTCTGTTTAAAACAATCTCAGTAAAATAAAATGAAAATAGAAACTGAATTGCATAGGAAACTGATAGAGCGATTTAATTGTCTTTATGGTACTTGCTCTGAGAAATATTTTCTAAATACAAATTCATCGATATTGGCATAATTCTATAATTCTAATTCAAATGTTTCTATTCAGAAACACGAAATCAAGCCCTCAAAACTGAAATGTTCAATACCTAGGCCTAGCACAGTGTCTGGTACACAGAAGATGTTATAAAAACTCAGCAGAGGAGAAGGGGACGATGAAGAAGCCCAAAAGGAGAGGCGGAAAATCAGGAGAGTGGGTCAAAAAAGTGAGCAGAACACAGTTCAAGCAAGGGGTCAACTGAACGTTAATGAAACGTTAAGGAAAAAGAGGAATGAAAGGTGACCTAGCAGACTTAGCAACATGAAGTTTATGGAAGACATTAGCAAGTGCTATTTTAGTGGGATAAATGGAAGAAGAAGAAATGGAGACATTAAATATAGACAACTCTTTCACAAAGTTTGGCTGTTAAGGACAGCAAGAAAGAGGGTGATACGTAAAAGAGAACATAGGGAAGAGGGAAATTATTTTGTGTTTGTGAGAAGGGGAATGTTTTTAACAGGAGAGGTTTTAAAATGTTTAGAATATAGTTCAGAGGGAGCACAGCATATTAAAAAAAAAATTCTGAGAAAGAGCAGATAAAAATAAGGCACAGGAAGAATGATTAGTCTTAGACAGAAGGAGAAACTGTTTCTCTACTTAAACAAGAGGGAAGGTTCTGAAAAGAGCAAATGCAGGGAGATTTCTAATGTTTGACAGTGGGATGCAGGGAGATTTCTACCTATGTCTCCTACATTCTCCAAGAAGGTAGAGGCATGCGGAAAGAAAGGCAGAGAAGAGAAGATCAGAGGCTTAAAAAGTGGAGTTGAAATTATCATTGTAGAGGAATAAGTTGACCAATGAAATTCAGTAAGACTGCTGGGCCATGCAGAAGCTTTTTATTAATAATTTGACCAGGTCCCATTTATTTATTTTTGTTGTTGCTATGATTGCTTTTGGGGTCTTCATAAATTCCTTGCCTAGGCCGATGTCTAAAAGAGTTTTTCCAACATTTTCTTCTAGAATTCTTACAGTTTCGTGCCTTAGGTTTAAGTCTGTTATTCATCCAAGGACATAATCAACAGAACAAACAGAATGGAAGAAAATATTTGCCTGCTATACATATGATAAAGGGTTGGTAACCAGAATCTACAAAGAAGTCAAGCAAATCAGTAAGAAAAAAACCAACAAACCCATTAAAAAGTCAGCGAAAGACCTGAACAGAAACTTCAAAACTGATAGACTGGTGGCCAACAAACACATGAAAAAATGCTCAACGTCTCAATCATCAAGAAAATGCAAAACCACAATGAGACATCACCTAACTCCAATGAGAATGGCTTATCTCAAAAAGTCCCAAAACAACAGATGCTGGCAAGGATATGGAAAGAAAGGCACATTTATTCACTCCTGGTGGGTCTGTAAACTAGTATAACCCCTATGAAAAGTAGTATGGAGATACCTCAAAGAACTAAAAGTAGACCTACCACTTAATCCAGCAATCCCACTACTAGGTATTTATCCAAAGGAAAAAAGTCATTTTATAAAAAAGACACTTACACTTGAATGTTTCTAGCAGCACAATTCACAATTGCAAAGATGTGGAAACAACCCAAATGCCCATCAACACATGAGTAGATTAATAAAATGTGGTATATGTATACCATGGAGCACTGGTCAGCCATAAAAAAAAAATAGTGATCTAGCATCTTTTGTAACAACCTGGATGGCACTGGAGACCATTCTTCTTAGTGAAGTATCGTAAGAATGGAACAACAAACACCACATGTACTCAATATTAAATTGGAAATAATTGATCAACACTTACATGCATATATGGAAGTAAAACTCAAGGGAAATCAAGTAGGTGCAAGGGGGGAGGAGGGGATAGGCAAATTCACACCTAACGGGTACAATGCACACTAACTGGGTGAAGGGCACACTTATAACTTTGATTCAAACTGTACAAAAGCAAATTATGTAACCAAAATGTGTATACCCCTGTAAAATTCTGAAATTAAAAAAAAAAAAGAATGCTGGGCCAATTTGAGAGTTGATATTAATAAATTTGAGCAATCTGCTTTTCTTCTGTGACATATAATAAACAAGTAAACAAATAAATGTATAATTATAAACTATAAGTACTATGAAAAAAATGAACAGGGTGCTATGGCAGAAAATACATGGCACAAACTCACTCTTGTGAGATATTAAGAGGTGGTTTTACTTCCACTTTTCAGATGAAAGAAATCAATGTTGTAAAGGTTAAGTAATTTGTACAACATTATATAATTAAGTGGCAGAGTCAGAATTAGAACTCAAGTCTGTCGACTCTAAGGCCTAGGTTTCAGGCCATAAATTTATATATATGATGCTCAGTTCAGTAAGTAAATTCAGTTTTATAATCAAATGACATCTGTACAGTCTTTATAACAA